TCAACTCAATCAAGGTAAACCTTGATATCAATCCCATTATCAATGAGTGATTGAACTACAGCTCTGATTTTCCCTTCAAACTTGTCCCTTTCCCTTGGAGTATAGGAAGCAGTGTAAACATCAGCTTCTCTTGCTCTTTCAGATAAAATCTTACCGATGGATATGCATGCTGGTATGTCTGACCGAGACCTAAGAACAGCTTTTATGTCCTTGGAGTTGGTACCAGCAACTGCAACCTGTTTGCTTGTCACCCTGTGAGTAAGTGAAGCTGATACAAAGCGTTTTGAGATAAACACATCAAGTGTAAACGGCTCCATGTACGCAATCGTTCTTTGTTTGAAAGATATGTGCTTGTTTGGATTCTTTGACTTCTTCCCTTTTTGGTATGTGTAAGGTCGGCTATTGTCATCATCAAGGAAATCCTCTACCCCAAAAAAGCTTCTAGGTGCCATATGTGCCTGTATAAAAGAAATGAATTAAAAATCAGTATTAGTACTACACAAATGATTCACCTCAAATTGGCATTTAAGGTTTGTTGAACTTTGTCTTTCGATTGGATAAATTCCACACTAGCTACTTAGAATGGTAACTTAGCACATAAAGTGCTACATGTCCTATTGAAAGGCATAGTCACATAATGCTAGGTAGTTGATTCTCAATCTGTCAAACCAGAGAGTTTACAAAAGTCCATAGAGCTTTAGTAAACTCAAGTAGATTCAACCCGTACAAGCTTACCCAACCTATTACAAAAAATAATATTAAAACAATAATTTAATATTTCCACTTTGTAAGAAAGAAAAGTAGCAAATCACAATAATAACGTATAATAATATATTATTGCTAAATAAGATTAAACAATATAGATGACTAAATCATACATAAATTCATAAAAGCATAAGTTGCTAATGTGAAAACAATTCAGAAAGGAATTAATTTCTTCAAACGATGAGTGTAGTAAATTAGCCCTTGTGGGGGTAAAAGTTAGACAAAAATTACATTTGATTTCAAACTTATTAGCACGAGTTTACCCAAATTTACTCAAAAAAGAATTTAATAGCAAGTTAATCTATCTAGGATTGTAAACTTTAGAGTTTACAACCTTGGTTGATTTGATACACTACACATATATGTGGGATCAATAAATTCACACTAGTTCTGAATAATCTCTAAATAACTGCTGTTCAACAAAGTCTTATTCTTTATAAACCAATGCAGTTGCCGCCAAAGTTGGAAACTTAAATCAAGATTCAACCAAATTCTACTAGTTATTAAACAGACAAATAGGAAATTCTACAGAAATATATTGAAAAAATAATTTAAATTGTGGTTTGAAAGGTAATATAAGAGACTTTACCCGTCCATTGTGGAACAAGCACGAAGGCACATATATCGAAGGCAAAACTCTGTTTCCTTCAAAAGCATAAGCACTGGTTCTGCATGTCCCGCCAATTATTTGTTTCAACATGTTTCCCGGACCCTATATCCCCTCCTAATTATCTGAAGCTTGCTATAGCCTATGGACCACTGGATTGTATTGGTNGTCAATAGTTTAGGGACTAAAAACATATTTAACCCTTCATATATTTTACATTTAAATCTTCTCACTTTCATCTTTAAATCCCTTAAAGTAAAAATTATTTATTCGCAAATCTTTTCTCCAAGACCTTGTTTTTTTGAGTGGATTTGAGGGAGGGGATTTGAGAGGATTTGAAGATAATTTTTTTTGTCGTTTATTTGACTGAATTTAGAGGTAAATGAGAGTGAATTTGGAAATAAAATTTGTGAAAATTAGTATAGAATTGTATTGACGTGACAAATTAAAAAAAATTATTTCCAAATTCACTCTCATTTACCTCCAAATTCACTCAAATAAACGACAAAAAATTTATCTTCAAATCCTCTCAAAAGAACAAGGCCTAAATGAGCCATCAAATATTTTTAAAATTGTAAATAAGTGTAATTTTACTCAAATGAGTTTATTAGAAGTTATTTTATATAGATATTGATTTAGTAATTAAAAAATATTTAATAAAAATCTTTAGAATATTACTAAATACATAATTGACAACTTAAATTTTGAAATATATAATAAATATTCAATTGTTTTATCATATTATTTATATTCTCTTTGTCATTACCTTTCTCTACTTTTTTAGTTAATTTCAAAAAACAGAAATATTTTATTTGAATCTCTATATTTATAAGTTCATTAAATTCTCACCCTAAAGAACATATAATGAATATGTCAATGAATGTTATAAGATGAATAATTTTTTTCTATTCTGATACAATAGTGTGAGAATCCAATTTAGTTCACAGCTAAATAAGTGAAAGAGAGGAAATGACAAATAGAAGATGACAAACTCTAAGATAGTTAGAGTGAAACCAGGAGTTATCCAATTGCATGCATGAGTTTGAAAGATATTTCTTTGTTCATGTATAATTTTCCCAAATTACTAGCCTAAAAATACGGCAACATGAGTTGTTTTAGTTTCATTACCATAAACAATGCTTGTCCACNCTTTAAGTCCAACAACATTCTTTTATGCAAAACATAATACATATAATAGATCAACTCAAGTGTAATGATACAAGTATAATAATATTAGAAAAATATAAAAGAACTATTAAATAATATGATCAACTGATAACAAAAAAACAGTAAAAAAATACAAAAATTATTTATAGCATAATATAGTACAAATATTTTAATATAATAATAAATTATTATATTATTGACAGATATTTTAATACAGTTTTATAGAAGCAAACTCTTACAAGTTTACAATTCTAGTGTACGAGACAAGTTTATGAAGCTCTAACCACGGTATGTGTAAACTCTAATAACAGATGCACTTTTTCATGGGTATTTAATTACTTTGAGAAGAAAAGATAAAAGCTTAAGAGTTAAGACCATGTCCACAATATATTCATATATCTACCCAAACACCTAAACACTTTACCCTGACAAAAAAAAAACACTATCAACAAAAACAAACCAACAACACCGGAATTCACATTGAGAACTAACTTTCTTCGCACCAAAGCAATAATGTATTGTGCGTGACAATCAAACATTTTATCAAACACCTGGTGACCAAAACCCAAAGTCACGATCTTGTCACACAATACGCAAAAAATAAAAAATAAAAAATAACCATTTTCCCCTTAAACCAATCTAGTTACTAAGTGATCCTATTACCACTCCGAGCCTTTAACCAATCTATCAAAACCAAAACGAGACACCATATTTGAAGCTAATAATCACAAGAGGAAAGTGAAAACCAACAGTATTAACAAACAACTCAAAGCCACGGTGTTTCTCCTTCGGATCCCTATTCTATCCCTCCTAAACTATTTAGCTGTTATTTTTTCAAAAAATAAACCAAACATTCCCAACTTGAAATTCCTGTGAAACTAAAAGCTTCCTTCTTATCACACACCTCTTAAGGAAAGGACAACAACTTTAAACAGAGTCAACAATTTCAGAATTACAGCATACCACCACCCAATCCCCATACCCGTGCAACATAGTTCTCACCTGAACAGAACCAATACTATAATTAAAACGACAAAATAGAATCTCCCAACTCCCTACACATGACCTCACAAACATCCCAAAATTCTATTGAATGTCAAACCCCCAACAAACAAGAGACACGTACACATTCCATCACAACGTATATTCTCTATCGATCCATTCAGACAAATAAGCAAACACTTGGTGTGCAATGAAAAATTATGCTACTCAGAATCCACCATATTTCATACACTTAGTAGCCGAACCAAATTAGATACCAAGCGAAACGAAGCGCGGAAAGAAACTTATTCAGTGAACAAAGGGAAAAAAAGTTGAAGTTCTGTTCGAAGCAAGAAGAGAAGCAAAGAACATGTTACTCGTTGCTAACCACCTCTTCAGGGTTCAGATGAGAAACATATGTACCATGCATATATAAAAGGAAATATTATATATTGCTATAAATAATTTAAATATGCGTACAGATTTGTTTTTCAATTATTATTATAAAAAGAAATAGTCTCTTAAAACACTTTGTCAAGCATATATCCAGTTTAGTTTTATAAAAATTCAACCTAAATCAATGCCCAAATAAATCACCCTATACATTAAGCTAATAGAACTTTGTACCTAAAATTGGTGTTTATCTCTTCATTTATTGTTTGCGGATTTATACTGTCATAAATTTTAATAGTTTAATTGATATTTTGTACATGAGATATTTTATTGTGACAATTTTTGTAAAGTTGAAATATGAACATATTGTTGCTGTTATGAATTTTATGTATTATTCAGGATATTAGTTATTTTAGTATGAAAATATAATTTTGAATTTAATGTGTTGATGGATTAAACTAATCATTTTAATATGTTTCATTAATAAATTATATTTCATTCCATCCATGTATTTGGTTCAACGGGAGCTAGAATTTACTAAATTGTAATGTACCTGAAGCTATGGACATAAGCAAGATACAGCTAAATAAATAAATAAACAAAAGTTTAAATATGAATTTAGTCCATTATTTGGACATTGAGTGCATATTTATGGTCACATTTATGTTTTAAAATTAAATTTTTGATTAAATTTATGTGCTTGAATGATTGATATTAAAAGGATGTGCTTGAATGATTGATTTAAAGAGGATTTGTGATGATTGGAATTGTTGGGTTTGAGAATTAAAGAGACGTAAAAGCGCATAAAATATTCTTGGATGTTCTTACCTTTATTTGTGCAGCTGAAATTATAAGTTTTATTGGTCCAAATGGCAATTCAAGGCCCAAAATAAGATTTTATTTGGAAAATAATGTACACATGGGCCAAACAGACAGACTTTACCCTTGCACCTCCTAAAATCCCTACATACACTCCTATTTCTGAAACAGGCCAACAACCAAGCACAAACACTAAGCCTTTTCTACTACACCTCCCTAAGTTTCCTGTTCCTACCCCTCTTAAGCCAAACTCCAAGAGATTCGACCACGTCGTCATTAATCCTCTGCACACCAAATAGACCAACCACATGCTGCCACATCACCCCCTCTGCCACATCATCATCTTCTCCCCCATAAACCCTAATTCCCAAATCCAACCTTAGGCGTCGTCAACTACCGCCTTCGCCGCTCCACCGCTCCACCCAGCACCACCATCAACACGAACCTGCATCAAAGCCAGACCTGCAAATCCAGAAAACTACAACAGAAACCAGAAGCAATCGTGCCGGCACTCCTCCTCCTTCATCGCGAGTTCCTCATCAGGCTGCCACAATCTTCATCTTCTCCGCCGTGAACACACCTTACTGTCGTGCCGCATCCTCATCGTCATCTCCTTCGCCGAACCTTAGTGCATCAATGTCGCCGCTGCTTCAAAATCCATCATAGTCATTGCGCCTCTACGAGTTCGCTAAACTCGAAACACCATCATCTTCTCCTCCCTCGCGTCACCACCAGATTTAACAACCACAAAGAAATCCAATTCAGAAGTCGTGAGCCATCTCCATTAGAAAATCCTGGTGCGAGAAGCAAAGAAGCGTTCTTCATTTACGATGCAAGCATAGGTCGCGTGACGGCACAGAGAATTGCCTTGCATCAGAAAGCCCTAATTGGGTGAGAAAGAGGGTTGCCACGTGGCAGACTCTCATTGGCCACCCCTCCCTTAGTGAAAGCTGGTCAACACTGCTTAAGTCTGATCAAAGCTGGTCAACAGGGGCTTCTGGTGCAATTTTGGAGAATTCTGAAGGGGCTAAAGTGTAGATAGAGGAAATTTCAGGGCTTATGTGTAATTTTGGAAATTTAGAAAAGCTAAAAGATAAAGTTCAGTTGTTGAATTAATTTAATTTAAGAATATCAACAGAAAATATCTTCCAAATGATGTTATAATTATCTAAATCTTTTAATTATTTGGAAGATATAAGATAAAAGATTCTATCAACTGAATATTCAGAGTCCAAGCCCAATCAAGCCCTATATAAAGAGACCTAGGGGAGGCAGAAAAGGGACTTCACTTCATTCATTCATTCTCTCATACTCCTCTCACTTTTCTTTCATCTTGTATTCAACTCCATTCATGGAGAGCTAAACATCTACGGCTATTCTACTGTAATTCCATTATGGATTCTGAGGTTAGATTGAGTTAATGCAATTGTTTATTTTGATTATTGATTTAAGTTGATCTTTCTCTATGTCTTTCATCTCTCTATCAAATTAAAATCAAAGATTTTTGCATCATAATGTGTTTGAATCTACATGCATATTGATTATGAGTTCTAGGGTTTCTAGGTTTAATTGAGAATCTACTTTGATTTAATTTAGGAACTTTCATATGATTAATTGATTTTTACTATCAATTGAGAATGTACTTTGATTGATAGTAATAATTTCAACTATAATCAATTGAGAATTTAATTTAATTGATTAGTTTTTAATTTGGTTAGAAGATTTAAGAATAGACATGATTAAACACAATAAGATTTGATTGAGAATGTACTTTGGTTGAATTCATTGTGAATAATCTAGAAATGTTTTGCTTTTGATTGAGAATTTACTTTGGTTAAATGCATGATCACCCTCAAATTAATTAAGAATGTACTTTAATTAATTTGAAACTTAAATAATAATCAATTGAATAATTATTTGTGAATAACCGATGATGAATCTATCTTGAAAAAGTAGTGAAATTAGCATGTTTCGTCATAACTGTTTTTAAGTTTCTTATTTGTTCTTTAAACATTCTCCAAACATACTTTTATTTTTGAGCATTACATTGCATTCATAAGATTGAAATATTGAAACACAATTCCGTATTCATTGGAAGACGACTCAGGGTTACTTTAACTCTATCTACTTTCTTGAATACTACTTGGCAATACTAAAGTTGCCTTAAAAAATAATATTAATTTGATAACTTCAACGAATCTATTTTTATTTTAAACTTAAATATAATTTTCTCTTTAAATTTTAAAAATAATAAATATAATCATTTTAACACAATAATATTAATTTCTTTTATATGATAAACAATATCATAAATTAAAATTTAAGTTAAAACATGTGAAATAATTCAAAAGTTATTACATAAAAACATTTGTAGGAAGTAAAGATATATTTATATATTTACTTTTTGTTGATAACATGATAAGTCAATGACATCAAAAGAACAGAAATAGAAATCTGATTTCATCAGACATTCAGCACCAAAAACAAGTCGTATATTGATAAATTCGGATCGAAACAATCGTCCATTTATGAAAATTCAGCTGAGTCAGTTTGACAAAAACCATCCATACCCAGAGAAAAGTAAACAGTGAAGAGTGTTCTTGCAAATTACCCTTAATGAAGAAGCTAAGATTCTATTCCCAGCACAGAGAGAATAACCTAAGGCTCTTTTCAACTGAGTGACAAAGATCAAATCCTTAAAAGAAATGAAGTAATAAACAAGATTTTCCCTTTCATTTGTCTTCAAGGAATTCATTTATCTAATTCTGAATTAATAACCTGGCATTGCATGAACTGCAAAACTTGTGAGCCAAACTTGCACCATAGAGAATCACAATTTTTAAGAATAGTGCTCACATATTAGTTATTTAACTAAATGGCTGAACTGGAAGATCCTTGGTTGTTTCAACTAAAAATGGAATTGGCTTTGTTGGTGCTGGCAACCGACCAATGCTATCAACTTTATCCTTTTGCTTTGGAGGAGGTCTAGCTGCTTTAGGCAACAATCTTCCTTTCTTTTCAAACCACTCAGGCTTCAGCAGTGCCCTCAAGCCCAACTTATTGTAATAAACCCTTCTCACAGACCCACCAGCTGCTTCAACTGCTTCCTTAGCCCTAACAGTAACCCTTGATACCTGTAAAATCGCTGTGCTAAATTACACTATGGTATTTAAATTTTAACATTTCCAATTATAGCATAAATCTCAAACTACAACAGTTTGGTTGTTTATAGGAACGTAAAAGAAAAAATACAAGGTAAAAGAAAATTAGCGCATAAACTTTGGACATATAGTATAATACAAACTTTATCTGTAACGAATGTAAGTTAGACACCCTACACCCCATTGTACCATTTCAATTACCAAGGTAAATCTTGCTGCGCCTGGGTAGTTTATGTTGCTAATGAAGAAAGAATTTCAAGCCACCATATAATTAATCATAAAATATTTAAAAGAAAGAATGATGATTAATTATGACCATGGTGAAATTTAAGAAATTAGATAAAGATAAGTTTAAAAACTGATGAAAAGATATATTTCCAAAGTTAAAACTTAAGAATCAAAAAGCGTGATTATGATCCTCAAAACACGTCTAGCCTTCATATAAAATCTACCTCTAGATGAATTGGCCACTTGATCTGCTCTGAACCACGTCCCATCAATCTCACTCCATCTTTCGATTGCTTCCCAAGTACCCCTGCATCCTATGGTAATAATAATGACCACAAGAATGAGAAGCACATGAAGCAAAACCAATTCCAGAAGAACTAAAAAGGTGAGGTAGCAGTTATAAAACCTTGAGTGTTTTCATTGTAATCAGTTCGGAAGAATCTATCTTCCCAGCATTAATAAACTTTGCAATTCTACCCAAACCTATTGGCTGCAGAAAAAGATGCATAAAAAATTTAACAATGTAGACATATAAATGGCTGATAGATTATGGGTTTCTGAGATTAAAATAAGAACAACCAAATCAAAATCAACAGAAATTTGAATAAAACTGAGCTACTCATTGGTCATAAATCCAAAGTGAACTCCAACAATCAAGGCATAGAATACCTTACTACATCAACATCAATATTCAAGTATAAGCAGTTAAGATATAGGGAACATCTCTTGAATACAATAAAGATATAAACTTTAAAAAACATTTGCTGTCAATGATCACAATACTTTTAGTGAAATTGGGACATATATATTCACAGGAAGTTTCAGAATCTTGAAAATAAAATTAGTATCAGAGGTATAGCATTAAACATATCAATTTAGCTTCAGTGTCAGGCAATGTTTTCCACTTGATAATTCTTTTTTTAAAGTGGGAGAAAATACAAAGAGAGAAACCAATAATGATAACAACAGATTGTGTTTGGAATAGGGAAGGAACAGAGACAAAAGGAGAGCCACCTTTACAGGTCTATTATAGAAGGAAAAAAGGGGCTAATTTGTAATTAGCTGTAACCAGGTAGTTACTTATGTGGTTTTGGAGTAAGAACCTAATAAATAGGTCCTCATTTGTAATTGGGATTTTTAGCTTTTGTTTTCTAACACTGGTGAATCTGGTTTTTTCAAAGTGAAAAGGAGAATGCCCCTTTTGGAGGTAATATGGTTTACCCTGTTGCTTTGACTTCAGTGAAGAAAACATATTCCTTTTAGTCACACTATTTTGTAACAGAGAAAGCAATATTGTGTTAGGCCTTCGGTTTTTGGATCCCAACAGATTGATCCTACACACAAACTCACACGGAGGTTTGGTTAATCTTTCAATAACATAACTGCCTCAGAGATCTTAGATCATCCTTGCGATTGCGATAATTGAAAATTGCATCCAAATGTTATGGATTGTGCTCTGAAAACAACTGCTATATATCCCATGTCCATTGGTAACTACTTCAGATGCAATCTACTTTAAAGACCCCCATAGCACTACTGAACAACAGAATTTCTCAAATCCATGATTGCAACTCTGTCCCTGTTGCAACTACTATTGTTGTGGTTGTGGCATGAGTCCTGCATCTTCTTGTCATTGACAAGTCGTCAGCCTATTCAACTTTTGACTAAATATCATGCTAATTTTATGTTTTATTTTTATTTGTGCGCATAACTTAATCTTTTAACATATATATTCGATAAAAATCATATATTCTAACTGTGATGTGACTTCTGCTATAAGCTCACAAAGCTATCCACTAGATGATATGAAAGGCTATTGGCTTTCTGCCATTTTTCACAATTTGTACTTAATAACATTAAACACCATAACAAAAAGATTGGCAACATATACAAACTGTCTTTTTCTCATTTTTCTCCATTATTCATCCAATATTAAAGTTCTAGTTTAGTTGGAAAGAATGCATTTTGAGAAACAAAAACAACCTTGAACAAGTGCATTTGGTCCAAGAATAAATTTTACCGAGTTCACTTATTTTGGTTTTCGATATGTTCTGCAGTATACAAAAGTAAAAACGATAAATGTAAAGACGAAAACATACTTGAAAAGTAAGGCTAAATGGGTTCTTGAACCCACGTTTGGGTACTCTTCTTCGAAGAGGGGTCTGGCCTCCTTCAAAACCCAATTTTATACCTTTTCTAGCTCTCTGACCCTTGTGACCCCTCCCAGCAGTCTTACCCTTTCCAGACCCAATCCCGCGCCCTTTCCTTGTTGGCTGCTTCCTAGGAACCTTATCTCTCAAATCATTCAAGCTCAGAAGACTGTACGCTCTAAAGCCTTGAAAATCTGGGAATTCATAACAACTAATTGTTCGATGAGCATTGGGAGAATGAGAGAGATGAAAGGGTTGAAATTGGATAGATGGGCATCTGAGTATGGGTTTGCTATGAGTTGAGCTTCTGATGATTGACGTTGAGAAAACAGATAACCTTCGTCTAATCATTTTTTTCTACTCTATACTTTCACTAACAAAAAATAAGTGTTAATTTCCAATGGCAACAGCTTCAAACCTTAGGATAACCAAAACAGAACAATGTCAGAAATTACACTTGGAGAATAAAGCCAAATCCCATGAAATGAAACCCAAGCTACCAGTAAAACGAAAGTGCAGGCTACATACCAAATTTAAATGCCAAAACATGAAACCGGCCTTATAGTACAACCAAAAGTCAAATTAATAGCATTTACATATAAAACAAAAACTGAAAACTAAGAGAATGCACCCACAAAATCACACAAACCAGAAAACAGGATGGAAAAAAGGACAGCTCACAAACTTAGGCAATAAACCAAATACCACATACGCACTGATCATAGCTAAACATTTTACCCAACAAAAAAAACACTATCAACAAAAACAAACCAACTACACCGGAATTCGCATTGACAACAAACTTTCTTCGCACCAAAGCAATTACATATTGCACGTGACAGTCAATCATTTTATCAAACACTTGGTGACCAAAACACAAAGTCACGATCTTGACACACAACACGTAAAAAAAAAAACCCATTTTCCCCTTAAACCAACCTAGTTACTGAGTGATCCTATGACCAGTCCGAGCCTTTAACCAATCTATCAAAACCAAAAAGACACCATCTTTGAAGCTAATGACACAAGAGGGATGTTAAAACAAAAAAGTAATAACAAACACCCTTTACCTACACTTGTGTGCAATGTTGAAAAAAGCTAGAATGAGCTTCAATGGCGTGTTCCTAAACCAACAAATTCGAAGAGCAATTAGTAATCTAAACCACACCACGTAAACGAAGGAGTTACAATTGAAAACGCAAACAATTGTAAAGAGAGAATGATAAAGAGAAAGATAGAGTACCTTAAAGAGAGATCAAAAGCGAGAGGTGACGATGAGAAAGCACAGAGATGTGACTCAAATTGAAACCACACACAACAACTCAAACCTCTGTTTCTCCTTCCTATGCTATTATGTCCCTCTTAGAATGTTTAACTCTCTTTTTTATTCCGGTATTAATATGTTTATTTATCCACCAAAACTAAATATCTTTATTTTATTACGGTCTTAAAAGCATTTAAAATTTCTCACACAAAGAATGATCGAAACTAAGAATATGAACAGATAATAGTTTTATATTTAAGCAAACAATTGTAAAATAAGTATATATTAGTTAATTAGACTCACCTTGAGTTTAACTCAAATTATATTAACGAATTCAAAAATTCTTCTATTATAGTTTAAAATTAACTTAGTTCACTTAATAAAATAATGTTATTATTTTTGTATTATTATTATAATTAGAAAATTTATACATCTAGTTCACCATTTTAAGTTTTTTTTTATCATAAGGTACATATAGTTAAACCAATTCATTTTAACTCAATCATAATTCATAGGAGTTGATTTCATTCACTTTAACACTCAATAAGAAAATTTATTCAAACAAACTTGTAAGAAACGTTTCAAAAAGGTTTAATGTCTCCGTAGGTACCTATTTTGGTCATGAATTTCAAATAGGTCATCTTTCTTTTCGGCGTATCAATTGAGTCCTTGTTTTTGTAAAATTGAATCAATTACAGGCTTGCCGTTAATTTGGACAAACGGCCGTTACAGTATTGGTTAGGTGGCATGGTTGAGTGCAGTTACTAATCAGACGTGGCATTTAAAACGATTTTTGTATTAAATAATTGGTATGCACAGATGTATATTCACTTTTGGGTAAGGGCATACTAGGAAAATTGAAAAACTCGAAGGGCAACCCCCTTTAATTGAGAAATGCAAATGAGATTGGGAAACAAATTGGGGGTTCTTACTTAGGGTTCGCGTGAGGGAAGAAATCCCATTCTTTGTTCTATTCGAAGCGCCGGTGTTCGTGGGTGAAGATTATGTAGTTGGAAGTGGGAGAGTGTGCGTTCTTTCTTCGATTCGAAGTGATGGATAATGAAGTGCAGAAGTCGCATTCTTGTTCATCTTTGACATGCAATGGGTGGCGAAATCAAAACTCTGATGTCGTTTTTCGTGGTGGTGGAGTATCTACGATTGATGGTGTATCACCCCTTTGCCTGTGTGGAGAGAAAACAGTGGTAAGAACAGCTAGAACTGCTAAGAACAGAGGGAAGCAATTTTGGAGCTGCCCTAAGTACAAGGTAAGAACGTGGAGAAGTAGTGTTTTGTTTGAGTAGAAAGTCGTTTTAATTGTTATTTTTTTCACAGACTGGACATGAAAAAAGCTATACGAATGTGAAGTGGGAAGAAAAACATGAGTGTTTGTCAAAGACAGGAGAAATGGGAGGTGGAACGAAGATGATGAGTGATTTGATTAAATCTGTTAAGGTTGTGGAGAAATGGATGAAGGTGTTGACAGGATTGGTTATTTTTATTTTTTTACTTAATATTATTGTAATTTCAATCTGGATTATAAATCCATAATGTAGTAGTGTTGCATGTTTGATGTTTATTTTATTTTATTTTAATGTTTAATGTTTATTTTGGTGGGTTGAAGTTACGTACGTCCCTATGAGTTGTATCTGACCAACACCAACAAGAAGGGAGAGAGAATGTGTGTTGTGTTTGTGTTTAAAGTTACATACGTCCCTATGGGTTGAAGTTACGTACGTCCCTATGAGTTGTATCTGACCAACACCAANGTTACTAATCAGACGTGGCATTTAAAACGATTTTTGTATTAAATAATTGGTATGCACAGATGTATATTCACTTTTGGGTAAGGGCATACTAGGAAAATTGAAAAACTCGAAGGGCAACCCCCTTTAATTGAGAAATGCAAATGAGATTGGGAAACAAATTGGGGGTTCTTACTTAGGGTTCGCGTGAGGGAAGAAATCCCATTCTTTGTTCTATTCGAAGCGCCGGTGTTCGTGGGTGAAGATTATGTAGTTGGAAGTGGGAGAGTGTGCGTTCTTTCTTCGATTCGAAGTGATGGATAATGAAGTGCAGAAGTCGCATTCTTGTTCATCTTTGACATGCAATGGGTGGCGAAATCAAAACTCTGATGTCGTTTTTCGTGGTGGTGGAGTATCTACGATTGATGGTGTATCACCCCTTTGCCTGTGTGGAGAGAAAACAGTGGTAAGAACAGCTAGAACTGCTAAGAACAGAGGGAAGCAATTTTGGAGCTGCCCTAAGTACAAGGTAAGAACGTGGAGAAGTAGTGTTTTGTTTGAGTAGAAAGTCGTTTTAATTGTTATTTTTTTCACAGACTGGACATGAAAAAAGCTATACGAATGTGAAGTGGGAAGAAAAACATGAGTGTTTGTCAAAGACAGGAGAAATGGGAGGTGGAACGAAGATGATGAGTGATTTGATTAAATCTGTTAAGGTTGTGGAGAAATGGATGAAGGTGTTGACAGGATTGGTTATTTTTATTTTTTTACTTAATATTATTGTAATTTCAATCTGGATTATAAATCCATAATGTAGTAGTGTTGCATGTTTGATGTTTATTTTATTTTATTTTAATGTTTAATGTTTATTTTGGTGGGTTGAAGTTACGTACGTCCCTATGAGTTGTATCTGACCAACACCAACAAGAAGGGAGAGAGAATGTGTGTTGTGTTTGTGTTTGAAGTTACGTACGTCTGTATGGGTTGAAGTTACGTACGTCCCTATGAGTTGTATCTGACCAACACCAATAAGAAGGGAGAGAGAATGTGTGTTGTGCTTGTGTTTGAAGTTACGTACGTCCCTATGGGTTGAAGTTACGTACGTCCCTATGAGTTGTATCTGACCAACACCAAAAAGAAGGGAGAGAAAATGTGTGTCGTGTTTGTGTTTGAAGTTATGTACGTCCCTATGGGTTGAAGTTATGTACGTCCCTATGATAAAACCTGCAAAAATTTAGAAAGTCAAAGTTAAAGTTAAAGTTACGTACGTCCCTATGGGTTGAAGTTAAAGTTACGTACGTTCTTTTAACGCCTTTTAATGTTACTAAAGTGATAAACATAATAAATAAGAGTCAAAGTGATTATTTAGAAAGTGAAAAAGCACAGTAGCTATTCTGAGTCTGTTATAGCTAATTATACAAACTATTAAAAAAGAGTACTTATGCTTTACTGTCATTAAGAATGGAAATACAATATCAGATATAAAACCTGCAAAAATTTATAAAGATAACTGTGCCCACCAAACTATTGACAAAGAAGGAAATTGTATCCAAAACCATACATACGTCAAAGAAGGAAATTGTAATATATTGTAAATCATATTGACAAAATAGTTCCTGGTCAGTGTAATATATCCAAAACATTGTAATATATCCAAAATAGTTCCTGGTCATTGTAATATATCCAAAACCATACATAGTTGGCATCATTGTCATTCATTAAATTACATAGCAGTAAAACCATAAACATTGTTCCTTAAACTATTACATAATAAGATCCTTAACTTGGCATCTATAGTTGAGCTTCCTGGTCATTCATACACACTTCAGATAATTGTGATGATGGCATGATTGGTTCTTGGGTTGCTTTGGGGCAACGACTCCTGTTGTGCCCAACCTCCCTACATAGCCCACATCTCTTCAACAAACCACCCTTGCTCACTCGTGAATCATCCTTTCTGATCTCCCACTACTCCAGTCTTCTTTTCCTTTTAGGTCTTCCAGGCATAACCTTTTTCCTAGGAGGCATGACATCCGGATATGGTGTTAGGTCCCACATGTTGTTGCCGTTGATGGGATATACAATTGATGCATAGGTTTCTTCATAGGTGGACTTTAGAAAGCAAGCCGGAATGAACTGCTGGCCATCAATATTAAGAAACTTCATTGAGGCTAGGGAGTGACAACATGGAATTCCTGTGATGCTCCATCTCCTGCACGAGCATGAGAACTCGTCTATGTTTACAACAAATTTTTCTCCACTATGGGAGACGTGTCTTACTTCAAAGAGTTTGTTTGCTGACCAACTATAAACAAATTAGAAAAAAATTTAAACAACACATTTAAATTATATATAGGTTTACCAAGGAATGAATAAAGTTTTGAAGAAAGTTACCTAGGTATCCAGTTCTTGGTTAATTGGGATTCCTTTGTAAATCTGGTCTGGATCTTTGGACAAATTGGTCCTGCAAATGATTGTATCTTAGACTTGTTTTTTGCCCATCTTTGCATTATGTAGACCCTAATTTCTTCCAGCATTGTTATGATTGGTTTAGTCCTGGTGTGAACTAGGACACTATTGAAAGCCTCACTCATATTGTTGACCAATGTGTCACATTTTGGTGTTGGACTGAATCTGGACCTTGACCAGTATCTACAACATATGATATATACACATGTTAATATTAGATGACAAAGTTTCATATTAAAACTGCAACAAAGACGTAAATCAACAAAAACCTACAACAGAGACCTAATATACACCTAATAGCAACACGGCTATACATCTAAATCAACAAAGAAACCGAGAAATGCATATCAAAATCAATCTATATCAAAACTCACATGACCAATATTTATATCAAAACTGACATGACCAATATTCAGCTTTCCACTTCCCAGAAACATTTGGACAAACATACTATAATATAGAAAGGGCAAAAATAATTAATACAAATTGTCAACCTTGGAGGGATGGCAATCAATGCTTGAATGCGTCTTTCATTTATATCTTTAAGTTTCTTTCATCTCCCTTTTCCAGTTTTGGTGATGAGTGGCAGTAGTGCTCCTCCAACATCAGCTGTTGTCAGATTTTTACAGGAAACTTTTTCCTAAAGTTTGAATATAGTGTCTGACACAAAATCTTTGGTCAACACCTGGGAGTAACTGTTGTATGGGTGGTAGTAGACCCTGTGGTGTTAACATAAAACAAAACATTTATGAGCATCTCAAATTAATGAACTAATATACGAAAGAAGCAAATTAAATATGATTATTATACCTTTTGTTGGTCGGACACAAAAGTAATTGAAGAACATACTTCTCCACCACCAAGATCATCAATCAAAAGAGTCAAAAACCACATCCATGAA